AGGTTAATAATATTTCAAGCAAAATCGGTATTATTATATTATTTGTAGTAATAATAGAATAGTAATGTAGAATAGTAATTATTATTTCAAGTAATAATAGATACTCGTTTCTTGATTTAGATTTCAAGATTTTGTTGTTGATTCATAAGTAAAGAATTTTCAAAGAATTTCGTATGAAGGTATTTTTTTTTTTTATTATTTCTTTTTTTTGGAAATACTTTTCCACATTTTTTCATATTTGTATTAGTTTAGATTGAAATATATAATACTAGTATGTGTTATTTTCTTTTCTTTTTTTTTTTTATATTAAAATTGTTTAATATTTTATATATCCATATAAATAATGTTTGTACATTTTTGACAGTAATTTTTTCTACATTAGCAATTCACAGATTAAAATCGTAATATGCCATATATATAATTATGTAAAATGAAATTTATATAGAACGTGTTATACATTCCAATATAATTTATTAATCAATTCTAATTAATATAAATGAGATGAGTCAGATAATATTGATATGTTAGTTTAACAAATAGATAGAATCTATATATACATGTGTGTGCGTGTGTGTGTATTAGTTATTCGATCAATATCTTTATTACGAAAACAGTTAAGTAGATAAACCTATATATATATATAAACGTATTACACGATATAGAGTATTATGTCCATGAACGATATGAAAATAGAACATTATTAATAAATGAAAGATCATCGATGAGTGAATTTTCCACGAGGGATCTTTTCACGTGTCTATCTGTCATCATTTTCCAGATTATATCAAACAGTTTTATCTCTAGTTAAAAAGAAAAAAAAAATTATTCAAACGTAATTGAGAAATATGATGATACTTGTCACAAACGAATAAATAATTGTCTAATAGTTATATAGTTATAGTTATTGAAAACAATGTTGCAATCTCGGTTAATCAATGTTAACCCCAGTATCTTCGTTATTTTTCGTTTCCATGTGGCATAGTAATATCTATTTACGACTTGTATATACACTTTGGTTACATCAACTAGAATGTAATACGTAATATACGACGAACGAGTATGATATAACAATTTACGTTTATTATCCATGAGTATTTTATACGTGAACTCTCTTCATTGTCTAACAAACGTCTAAAAGAATTTTATTTCTTTCGTCATGTGTGTGTGTGTGTGTGTTTGTGTTTGTGTGTGGTTTCTTTTTTTTTCTTCTTCTTTTTTAATGGCAATAAATAAACGACAGAATAGCGTATATTTACTTTTGAATATTACAATAGATCGCGAATTAAAATTATACGTTGATTTGAAAAAAAAAAAAAAAATCAATTACGAAGAATAAAAATATACATGATAAAATATCAAATTTAATTTCACTTTTTGATAGATAATACGGGGACATGTGTGTATATAAATATTATATATGTCCCATTAATTTTCTAAATGTCTATTTCGTGAGATTAAAAAAACGCATTAGAAATTAGAAGAAAAAAAAAAAGAAAAGAATTTTAATAATAAAACGAAGCGACATATATTAGAAACGAGTCTAAAGTAACAAAATGATGATATATGTGGATAATAAAAAAAGAAAACACAAATTCCGCGTGATTTCTTCTTCCTATATATATATATACGCGCGCGCGTTTATTTAAATGAGAAATATAAAAATGCGAATATACAATTCGTATTAGAAAAATATTCTTAGAAATGAATACTAGAAAGATTAAAGAAGAGAGAAAAAAATAGCCTCTCTCGAAAAAAAAGAAAAATGGCGAACGTTTTTATCGTTTCGAGACTGAATCAAGTTCAATTAAGATTAGTTGGAAATAATTATTGATAACAAACATATATATATCTATAAATAAATAAATAAAATTTGATCTAAGAAAGTTTCTAATTACATTAGATAGATAAATAGATAGATAGATAGATGGAATATTTATTTGGAAAGCGCATGTGTACGACCGCGTGTACCGGTACGCACGATCGCAAACGGTCTAGAAAACTAGGGGAAGAGAAGGCAGGGGGTGAGGGTGGAGGTAGGGGGGGTTGAGAATCGATCTTTTCGATGGTGCACCTATGCCAAAGTGAAAGTATGAAACGTTTCTTTTTCAAACTCGAACTCGAGTCATATCTATCGGTGACAAAACGTATATATTTATCTATCTATGTATGTATGTATGCATATTTACTCACGTATACTTTATACAAGGTGACCCAAAAATCTTTAAACCGTTTACGAGAAATGATGGAAAAAGTTTAACCAAAAAAATCCGCTATTGTTTCCAATCCTATGCAGTTCTGGTTATATTTCAATTTCGATTACCAACGTTTATAAATGTTTTATTTAAAAATTTATTTTAATTAAAAGTAAAAAAAAAAAGAAAAAAATAACCAAGGTAATTTTAAACAATTTGATAAGAGTTAAAATCTTATTATTTGATATACGTTATTCTACAAAAGTAATTACATAAATCATTTACAAGAAATATATTTATTATTCATGAAAGGACACATGTGAATTTTTTTTTTTAATGTAAAATTGATTATACGATATTTAAACGATTCACAAACTTTCGTGCCAACCTGTATATACTCGATGTTATTTATTATTATGTACTGATTTATTTTATGTGAAAAGAAATTTTTCTAAATATTTTATTTAGTTAAACGATTGTGGAAATAAAAATTGATGCAAACGTTTTAGACTTTGTTTTTTCGTATAAATAAATTCTTTTCTTTTTCTTTTTTATAATTTTAATATATATACAATATTGTCTTTATATTATCTATATCAGCTGTTTATTCGGAAAACAAAGAGACATTTCAAATTTAGGTAAAAAAAAAAAAAAAGAAAGAAAATAAGTTTAATTATGTTATTCGTATATTATTATATTATCTGTATCAGTTGTTTATTTGGGGGGAGGGGGGTATTTTAAAAAACAGTCGTTTAAAATTTGAAAAAAAAAAAGAAAATATAAGTTCAATTATATTATTCGTATGTTATTATATATTATTTGAAAAATAAATTCCTGTAGATGTTATTATATATGTATTCGAGAGAATAATCGAATAAATGTCATTTTATCGTGGTTGTTGTCGTTCAAAGCACACTTTAACGTACCGGAAATCCTAACTTTCGCAAGTAACTATAACCAGACCGGATATACTAAGCCCCGAGGCACCTAAGAGAGAGAAGATCATCATTCGTTTGGCAGGATGTGAAAATCTATAGTTTTATTTATTTATCCGTTAAACCTACACACCTACACACACAAATACACACCATACTCTCTCTTCTCTAGTTGCCCTTCCCACCCTTTCATAATTCTTCTTCATTATTTTTTTTTTCTTTTTTGGTTTTTCTTATCAAGTATTATAATATCTTGTCACTTATCAACACGATTAAAATATTATTCTCGTACAAATGAAAATATCATTTCTATGTGTGATAATTGTGTTTAATTAATTGACAATAAAACAGAAGGAAGAAAGAAAAAAAAAAGTGAAATTCAATCAATAATTTTGTTTCGAAAATAAAAGTTTTAAGTTGGGGGGGGGGGGATCGTTCGTCATATGACGTTTCGCGTGGTTAAGGAACGCGTATCATCGTAAAAATATTTTGGGGGAAGGAAAAACCAGTTAAAAAAAAAAAAGAAAAAAAAAGAATTATTATCGTGACTATTAAAGAAGCGAACACGTGTTTGGGACACCTGTGTGTATATATATATACGATGGGACGACGTATGAATCACACCTTTTCCATTCAATATTACGAGTTTGTAGGAGGAAACGTGGAAAATGCTGAATTTGCGGGAAAACAACTCACGATTTTATACGAAGAGTAGTAAACTCTGTTTCTTAATATTTCTCGTTTTTCCTTTATCTTCTTCACGGATGTCTTCTCGAAATATTAATTTGATTGATTTTTCAACACACTTCTTCTTGTCAGTTCACTGATACAAAATATAATTAATTAATTCACAATTATTATATATCGACGCATCTTTTCTTCTCATTGTTTTCTCTCATCGTCATCATCATCATCATCATCATTATCATTTTATTACTATTATCATCATTATTATTATTATTATTATTATTATTACTATTATTACTATTATCATCATTATTATTATTATTATTATTATTGAAAATCGTTAATAATAAATTTACTGAGAATTTATTTATACTGTAACTGAACTAACAAAAAAAAATTATATATCTAATATTACAATTTAATTTAATAAACAAATAATAAAATGAAATTGTGTAGCAATTTAAATGATTCGAACGAAAATTCCTATATTTAAATAATAATAATTATTATTATTATTATATAAAATTATATAAAAATAAATATATATATATCTTGTGTTACAATTTAATTTAATACACAGATAATTAAATGATGTTTCCGATTGTGTAGCAATTTAAATGATTCGAACGCAAATTCCTATATTTATAAATAATAATAATAATCTCAAGTATATAAAAGAATTCAAAATTTACAAATTACTTGTTTGAGACGATTATTGGAATACAAAAGAGAGCGAGATAGATATAGATAAATAAATAAAGAAAGAGAGAGAAAGAGACATACAGGACAGAGACAGAGAAAGAAATGATGCACTGACAATGAGACACTGCACTTGATACGACGATGCACGAAGAAGAAGTAGTTAAGAATACCGCACGATCGGTGATCTTTATATCGTTGGGAAATCCTCCTTGGCCCTGCGCCAGTCTTCTTCCCTTCCTCCTCCTTCTCCTATTTTTTTCTTCTTCTTCTTCGTTCGTTCGTTCTTCACGTTGTATCAGAGTGGTTGGTGATAGTGATGGTGGTAATGGTAATGGTAATGATAATGCTAGTGGTAGTGGTAATAGTAGTGGTAGTGGTAATGGTAGTTAAAGTTTTCTTCTTGTTTAACTAGTAAAATCAAGTTTGATTTGTCCCGCAAGAAGGGAAACAGATACACCACATACGGACCGTTATGTGTCGCGAACACAACTGCCGTACGAAACCCTCCTGTTATTCCGCTTATGTTCCTCTCTCATCCCCTTCCCGAGCATACCGTTTCCCTACCCCCTGTTCCTCCCCCTCCCCCTCTCTATCTCTCCCCCCAACCTTCTCTTTACCTTCTGACGACGACGAGGAGAATGACGACGTCATTCTCGAACGTAATCCTCATGAGGAAAATCATCAATTTACATCTTTCCGTTACATTTTTTTTTTCTTTCTTTCTTTCTTTTTTTTTTTTTTTTTTTTTTTTTTTTTTTTTTTTTTTTTTTTTCCCAGTTTTTCTTTTCTCTTTTTTAACACTATTTTGATCTCGACACAATCTATTTTATCAAATTCTATATTGAAATTTTTTGTATTTTTTTATCCAGGCATCTTTCATCATCTGATTGCGAATTAAACGATGAAAAAAAAAAAAAAGAAATATTTTTCGATAGGTGCTATTTATATTCTTTTTTTTTACACGTATTCGTATCATGTTAAAAAATAAAAGAAAAAAATTATAGATGCATACTCGTTGCTGACGAGACATTTTTTTTTTCTAACCAGTTTTTCCATTGGCCAGGGATTTTTATTATTTTTATTGTTTTTTTTTTTTTTGTATCCGTAAAATTTTGTTAATCAACACGACCTATAATTAAACGTACAAGTTGATTTGTAATTTTTGATANTAAAAGAAAAAAATTATAGATGCATACTCGTTGCTGACGAGACATTTTTTTTTTCTAACCAGTTTTTCCATTGGCCAGGGATTTTTATTATTTTTTTTTTTTTTTTTTATATTTATATATATATATATAATTTTTGTATAATTCGTAAACAATTGTTAAAACAATTATATCTCGTGTCAAGTAAAATTATTTGTTTAAATTTACATTTTTTTTAATAACATAACGAAAATATACGAGATATATATCTCGTCGTCCGTCAACAAGGACGTTATATAAGATTTATTACGCTGAATAATAATTTATAACTTTTTTGGCTCGGATAAATACCTAATTAAATTCTATTCCCCTCCTTCCCTTCCTCCTCACCACCTCCACACCTTTGCACGTTTATTTCTTTATTTTATAACCAATTAAAATATATTATTTTTCTTTTCTTTTCTTTTTTTTTTTTTTTTTTTTTTTTGTATCCGTAAAATTTTGTTAATCAACACGACCTATAATTAAACGTACAAGTTGATTTGTAATTTTTGATATTACCGGAAAAGGTTAATTAATGGAAAAGAAAGGAAAAGGTGCGGGGAGAAGAATAAGCAAACATTTTTATATCATAAATGATGTTAATAAGAGAAAAATCATAATATTATTTGTAATATATTTATTCGCCCCAAAGATAGAAATAATAATAATAATAATAATAATAATAATAATAATATTTCATTAAATATAAACGTGTTAAGAGTAATTTTAATTGAAATTCGATCTCGAATTCGAATTCAAAAAGTGGGCCAAAACTTTCGTCCGTGTTTTAAATGTACGTGAGATGCATAAGGAAAGATTTCTTTTGCGCAGTACTCTCATGAATGATTATTTATAAATAAGTATGTAGAAAACGTGTATGATGTTTCTTCCCTATTGGTAAAAAAAGACAAAAAAAAACAAATACCCTTCTATGCTTCATGCGTAATTGTCTATACACATAACTACAGGGGGACAAAAAAAAAGCAACGATAATTTCATTCATGTTTCATGCATAACTCATTGGACGAAAGTGAAACAAATCTTTCTTTCTTTTCCTTCTTTCTATTTTTCGTATCGTTTAATTTTGTAATACTCCAAGAATGATTTATTACCAATTAAAAAAAATATATGTATTCTCGTTAAAATTGTTGTGGTCATTTAAAAAAAAAAAAAATCGTCCTTAAACGATACACAAATGTGCGAACTTTTGAAATTACGATTTTATATGAAAATAAATAAATAAATAAATGAATGAATGAATGAATAAAAAAAATAAAAATACTTCCTTGTTTCTCGAAGGACAGAATTATTTATGAGATCGGGTTCTCCCAATTAACTAATTTAAATATTATTTATATATATATATATTGATTTTCGAACTTTTATCGAATTCAATTAATAATTTCGTTTCGCGCGAATGATGAAAATATTTATTCGTATATCGATGTTTTTGTTGTTTTTTTTTTTTTGCATTGACGAGTAAAGTAATCAAGTTTTTTGTCTATTAAAATTCGAGATTTTTAATAACACCGATTATATATTTTGTAGCGTAATACATTAAATAAACATATTATATCTGTTATTTCCATTAAGTAATAAATATGTAAAATGTTTTATCCATTCTATCTAAAAAAAAAAAAAAAAAAAAAAAAAAAACTGAAAAGAATTAAAGAAAAAAAAACCGCACAAGTGAGAGACTCGCATTAATCATTTTATCATTAACCATTATAACACATTATTTACTACACACAATTAGACTTTTAATTTCACGTTAAATGCATTTTATCGTGCATTCGTATCAATGACGAATTAATTTTGCATCACACACCTCTACATACGTACGCGGTACACGCGAATTAATTTATTATTGATACGTTACTGTAAAAAATTATTTGCATTAAAAGAAAAACTGTTCCGCGTTAATAAAAATCTTTTTATTGTTTTCTTTTTTTTATATGTATATATATATATATATATATTTTAACCGAAAACTCTTCGTACATAACGTGCAAATTGCGAAATAACATTCGTTAGAACGGACAAACCAAAAGCAGAATGTTTCTTGGCAGTTTTCAAGAAAATAACTGTAATCATCCCGAACGGTCGCTCGCATACCGATCTCGTAATTCTCTTCTTCTTCTTTTTTTTTCGTATTTTTATTTTTATTTTATATTTATTTGTTGTGTTGTCAACCCTCGGTGCACGTGCTTCCAATCGCAAACGATCATTTACGTATTCCGAGAAAGTAATCTCAATTTTTTGTTTCTTTTTTTGTTTGTTTTTATTTTTTTTTTTTTTTGGATTCTTTATTCAATTTCTTACGATTGTGTGTTACGTTAATACGTAATTCGGATTATGGTGTTATAATTAATTATCTATTTCTAATTTCTTTTATTATTATTATTATTATTGTTATCATTATTGTTCGATATTACAATTACAAATGAAAATGAGTTTTGTTTCAATCCCCTTTTTGCGTACTGATAAATAAATTCAATCATTCCCATTTCGAATTGATTATTTAATTATTTTAATAAATTATTTTTATACACACTGGTGCATAAATATATAATAGTTCTGTATCGAATAATATACAACAACAACAAATAAAGTACGCATTTATACGTAGTATAAGTTTGCATTTCAGTACAAAAAATGTCTTAATATCATTTAGTATTATTTAATCTCAAATTGATTGGAATATATTGAAAAAGAAAACAAAACAAACCACATTTGTTATTTTTTTTTTTTATTGGCAATACTTAAATAATTTTATTACATTTAGCCATGATCATTTAGGTTCTCTTTAAGGATATACAAAATATGCATTATAGTTATAGAAAAAATTTGTGAAAATTATTAAATTGTTTTATTATTCGATATCGTTATAAAATTGCATTTAAAAAAAAAAAGAAAAAAAAAAAGAAGAAATAAAAAGCCATATCATTTTTTTCTCTTACGTATATTTCCCAATAAAATAAAATCTGAAACAATCGATATTGTTCGATCTATAAAAAAAATCGAGGTATACATATACACACACGTTGACATTTCACGAATGTTTTACAACTTGCGTTAATTTATATTCACATGACACGCCCTGGCCACTATGTTACTCTCGCAAGTTGACATTTTCAAATATATACGAATATAGTTACATATACCTGTGTGAAATATAACTAACCATGGAGCAACAAACCGATGAATAAAAAAAAAACAATAAATAAAAAAACGTGAACAATGAGACTCAAACAATGAACAAAAGGGAAACACATATTATAATAACAATATATATTTCTCTCTAGTGAATCGAATTTCTCTGACACGTCGACACGATGATAATATTTAAATAAATATAATAAACAATAAAAATAAATAAATAAAACCTTGAGAAAAAAATGTTAACATTAATAATATATTAAACGACGTGAATACTGCGTGATGTCGTAGGTGGTTTGGGGGATTCCTATATATTAAATAAATAATAATAATAATAAAAAAGAAAAAATATAAAAACGAGATATAAATCTTTTGAAAGATGCAAAGATGCTAATATTTTCGACAGAGAGGAGCCAACGAAAAAATTCGATTAAAAAAAAAAAAAAAGAAAAAATCTTATACAAGTGGAACGATTAATCTTTGAATCATGGTACGACGACCTTACGACCTTCAAACGTTATCCTCGATGCATCTGGAGGATGCTACCAAATTAGGACAGGCTTGCTACTCAAGTATTTTTCCCTCTCTCTCTCTCCTTCTCTCTCTAAGAATTCTGCGGTTTTGTATCCCGATGTTTATAGCAGCACGCATATTTTTTTTTTTTTTTTTTTTTTTTTTATTGCATTCCAATATCTCTATCTCTTTCTATTTCTATTTGTTAGCTCTAATGACGTCGCGAATCTCAATCATCATATTCTCGGACTATGATGACGGCATCATTCGAATACGAGGCGCCTTTGTGATGACGTATAATAATAAGTAAATCACTATGTCATCGTTGGTTTGGACAATTTTTACTTTTGATTCATAATTCTTGACTATGTTTTTTTTCTCTCTCTCTCTCTCTCTCTCTCTCTCTCTCTCTCTCTCTCTCTCGCACTCTTCCTTTATTTTTTTTTCTCTTTTAAACAACGTACAGGGTGTATCGTTCGAATTTATTTTGTTAGAAATATTAGATTGGCAACTAAGTTCCCCACACACACAGTCTTTTATTTTTCTTTTTTTTTTATTTTAATTTTTTAACATTCCGTGTGTGTGTGTGTGTCATTTGTTTTCTTTCTTTTTTTTTTTTTAAACAACGTACAGGGTGGGTGTACC